GAAAGTGAAGAAACGCCGGTGTAATTGGCTGTAATTGGTGCCAATGTGATACACCCGTATCCTGTAACCTAACCTAACCTAACCTAACCTAACCTAACCTAACCTAACCTAACCAACCTAACCAAACATAACCTAACCTAACCTAACCGTATCCGTAACTATGAGTCCGTAAAATTAGGCAGGGTATTTTAGAAAATATGGGCTCTCCCTCCTTTAATTACACCTATGGGAAAAATCGCCTTCGATGATGTATCTAACCTATGTTTTCAAACACGGTTTTGAACTCAATTTGTATTTGAATTTCACAGTAATAGTTTTCAAAACCGATGATGAGTCGATTGAACAATTTACCAACCGCTTTAAAATGTGCATGTATATAAACAGCTATACAATGTGTTATACCTACGCTAGGAAATGTGTCAATATTTTTGTAATGTTCAGTATAAAAACTCTCATATATACATATACATATTAGTATCGTGAAAAGGCCTTAGCATAGTATGTATGTACTTTTTCGAATTCCAGCAAGTATAATAATAATTTCAACCATTGCATCAGCCCCTAACCTAACCTAGCCGGTTGTTTTTCAAAATTGTTCTCAATTGGCAATGTAAAATATAAACAGATATTTTATCGAGCGTTTCCATTGAATTTTTACTGGGTTTTCTGCTGTTGTTGTCGTTGTCACTGTTCTTATTTGTATAATGTGAAAATATTTCACTGAAAAACAACTTATTTTTTTGTTGTTCCATATAGTTCGTTGCTATTAGTTTTTATAACTTTATGCGAATTGTTGTTTTCGATATTCCACAGTATTTTTTGTCCCTGCGTATTATTTTTCTGCTCGAATATATATAAAAGCAATTTTCATAGATCAAATAGATTTACATAACGCATTATACCTTGGTAACCTCTACATTAAGTAAAATTTTAATTCCTAAGACTACAAATAAAGAAAAAAAGATTAAATTATCCCACTATTTTTCAAAACAATTATGCTTTGCTGAAAAGTTAATTTAATATAATATAAGCGCTCAATTATCCAAATTTTATCTGTAATACGTGATAATTACGAAGGGATTTATAATTATATATATTTTTTTATATATAAAAAAATATATATTGTATATTGTTTTTAAGGTCAAATTTCGATTACTCTGAAAATCGATATTCCGCCTAATTTGATAACGCCGATTACGAAGAAATTGATTTAAAGTGTCTCAAACTAACATAAATAGGGTCGGGCCTAAAAAGGGCTAAGTTTAGGCTACTATTTGTTTTACGGACTATTAAAGGCAGTAGTTGTAAATGAACAAAATATTTATGTGCGCAAATCGTATGTAAATAGTATATCCGATTAGGTAACATTTTCAAGTTTTCACTATTTGCTATGACCTTCGAATTTTCGACGTAAAAAGTAGCACTATGATGTGCACAAAATAAAAATTTGTAATTCGAACATCGACAATTTTATATACCTATTGTTTTTGTCGTTTGATGTGCTTAAAACGTATAAACATTAAAGGATGGCAAAAAAAATTACTAAAACATTCTCGTGTGTGCACGAGTGCCGAAATTATTGTATGCTTTTCGAAAATATTTTCGATTTATTATAACCTTAGCATTTTTAGCATAAAAATTTTACCAACAAAATTACACACGGAAAACCCCGAAATTTCAACAACCCTCCCTCCTCCTGGGAAAAAGGCTGAATGTTTTTAAAACTTGTTTGGCGCAATTTTAAGATTTAACAACTAACAAGTCAAATTAATTCTAAATTTGTGTGGAATTTAACCATTTTCCAATAGAAAAGATAGAATTTTTTTCTTTATTTCACTTTTCGAAGCAAAGTTTTAGGGATTTAGGTCGGGGAAATTAGACCGAAGGTATATTATCTAGAATGGAACTATAACATATAAAATTTTCTCAAAAAAAACTGGGATCAAACTTATTTTATATTAAGGAAACCCCCCCCCCCCCGAAAAAGGGCAAAATTACACTTTTACCGTAGTCAATTTCCAGGTTGCTATGTGTGAGTGAGTAAAATATAGACAATGAAAATATTTCATTATATTGTAAACAACAATATATGGGTTATTATAATAAAACATTTATATAGAGAGAACCTATTTTATATTTGTGACCAATTTATAATGATAACATCATGTTTAAACTCTGCACTATTTTTTACTTTTGTTCAACTCCTTGTGGAAGCAAGTACTTTAACGTGTAAAGCCTCAAGTTTAATTGTCATTTAAATGTATTGTAGTATGTAAAGTATGTAATAAGTGAATGTACAACTAACAAACTGAGAGCATTCACTTGTTTTTCGTTGATATATAACCATAAATGAACCATTTAATTCTTTAGTCACTCTTACATTATAGATTCCAGTATAGAAGAGTGGTTTTATCTAACGACTAATAATTGTTTATTTGAAATGTTTTATTAAATAGTCAATGTCAACTGGTTTCACCAGAGATAACAAAAAGTGAATACATTTAAAACGAAAATGTAACAAACGTAACCCAAATCATATCCACCCTTAAACTAAAAATTCATTATTAAGCACATAATTGACATTAGGTACAATGCTCTTATCGATATTTGTCTTTTTATCTGTGATCACTGGATTGCTCTTTGAAGCCCGAATTTGGGTTTCCAAACCATAATATGTAAGGTTTTATTTTATGCTCTGAATTTTCGTTATATGTTATAAATGCGTAAACAACACACGGTTAGTAATATTTTTTTTTTTGCGTTTTATTTACCTTAAATTTGTATCGGTATGAAAAAACATATGAGTCATAATGATACAGATAAAAAAGCTCCCTAATGGTAGATGTACTCAGATTTTTCCTACTAATAAATGCGTTAGTATATAAAAGGCCTTGGAGTTTTATTATGTTAAACATATTCGATATAGACACAAATGTTTGTATACCTTTGGGTAGAATTTACAGAAATGAGAAAATTGTAAATATATTTATAATATATTATTATTTATACAATATTAAAAAAACTATAAATTATCATGAATACATATGTTTTTTTTTATTGTATTGTATTTTATTTTTATCCACATTTCTGCAATTGGTCTTAGAACACCTGAAATTGTCTACATCCGGTCATAAATAATACAACTATAATTATTTTTACATTCAAAATTTAAAACTTTTGTCATTACTTTTCTAAATAATTGTATATTCACTTTCTTAAACGGGGAAACGTATCGAAAACACGTTTTAAGTTGTATTATTTATTTAAAATAAGAAGAATACTAGTTTTGATTTATCGTTATGTATGCTTGTTCAAACAGTTAAGAGTCATACACCAATGTCCTAAATAAGAAAATATTCAAAAACAAAAACAACATCTTTTATCATCGACCTAGTTAAATTATTTGAAGTCTCCAACGTTAAAACTAAATTTGAGTAAATTTGAGTGTGTATACAATTTATAATATACATTAGCAGTATTAAATAATGTTTGTGATTTTTTAGCTGTTAAGTTGCTCCAGGACGAACGTAAGTATATAATACCTATCTGTACATCATATTATAATATTTTGTTTGGAGTAATCATTAATTAAATACGTTGTGTTTAATAAATTGTGTAATGAACTTAAGGCTAAAATGATTTAAAAACTGACTCTAAGCAAATTCACTGGATTTTTATAATTAATATCTTGGTTAGAACAACATTCGACTATTGGTTACTGCTCATTTTTTTTAAAATAATTTAAAAACTTTGTACGTTATAAAATTTGGGGTATGTTTGCATATAGGTATATTTAATCAATTCATTTCACAAGGTCAACATGACTGGACAATACAATTGACATAATAAAAAAACAGAAATCTTACTGACATTGCAGGATTAAATCAAATCAAATACCTTGCGGTACACTAAATTAAGTTTATTGATATAGGTACTAAAAGTAATACCAATGTTGACGTTGTGCTTCATATTTTGTGTAACTCATTGCAACATTGGTCGGAAAATACAATACTCTTATAATCAATATTTGTAAAGCCCTAAAAATTATGATCTTATCATTTCCATTTTAACTTTGTAAAAATACAAAAAAATTATATATTTTATATAACATGAAAAATTATAAGCAAAATTGAATAATAATAATAAAAAAAGTTAAAATATTAAACAGGTAGTAGAGTAACTGGGATTACAAAAAGTAATAGATGCGGTCTAAGCCAACGTTAAGGAATCCCCCTAAAGTTCGACCAGAAAAATAGGGTAATTTATGGGCTAATAAATATGGGACTGGTGCATGTATGGTTTTCCGAAAGAAAAAAAATAAACAAGCTCAACAATCGACATTATATTATAATACTATTTAACATAAATGTTTACTCATCGAACAATTAAAATAGGTACATAATATGGCACAGTTTAAATGTAAGTTTTTGCATACAGACCACATCAATAAATGTATTTTTCATTATTTGGAAAAATAATTATTGGCTAGTATTTTAAAATATGTTGCATTTTAAATTTAAATATGATGTAATATTATATATATATATTTGTTATTATTTTACCCCCTCCCAACTTTTTTTTGATAGCAACTTTTGAAACTTAAATAGTAACGCATACATTTAATTAACTTTTTAAATTGAGAATAATCTACTAAAAATATTGACTGGTCGGTAATCAGTTTTGGATAACTATTTTTAAAGTTCAAGAGTAAAGAGTTTAAAAGTTAGGGTGGGAGGAGAAGTGCGGTTGGGAACTGCGCGAACATAAAAATAGTACTACACTCCACCTTTCAAAAAGTTAAGGAAATATATGCGTTGCCATTTAAGTTTCAAAAGTTACTATCAAAAATAAAATATGTAAAGAAAAAAATGAATTTCTTATTGAACCCAGTGAGATATTGAGTGGTTCACGATAAGTTGATCACCATGTATGTATATATATATATATATATACAATTTTTTTTCTTTTTACTATTTATATAAGTTTTTAACATGGTTTGTCACACTTTTTGTTGTTAATTTGTTTTAAATTTATCTCGCTGTGTTAAATCGATAATTGAATTACTTTTTTTTTATATATAACGTGATCTCAATTTTCCACAAAATATTATTTTCCTATTCCCTCTCAAACTAGATTTTTTGATAGCAACATTTGAAACTTAAATGGTAACGTATATCTTTGTTTAACTGTTCAGATTGAACGATTCGGGATGTCGGATGAAGATCGGTTTTATCTCCGACAAATACCGAACAAACCACCACCTCCGTAAAAGGGTCCAACTAAGTGTCGGCCGTGAACTTGCCGCTTACACTACTGAAGAGAAGTGCATGAATAGGTAATGATAGCAACCAGTGGCTTGATCGAATTAACGTTAACGCTAAAATGATGGAAGACTTCATAAGCAAATACGATTCCAAGCAGCATGTCGATCAAAAGATGTTTGTTTTCGACTTCTGCAAGGAGATGGCGCAGAGCGTGTTCAAGACAAACGAAAAACCAATACTCGTTTGGATGAGAACCGGACTAAAGTTAAACAAGTTTCGAGTGACGACGAAAAGCGCCAAAGAGTTTCGTGATCTAGTGTAATGCAGACGATGGATCAAGTCGTAGATATAGAAGACTCGGAGGAAAAGTCAATAGATTTGTAGCAAAACAAATGTACGAATAAAATAGCAAGTGAACCGATTTTGAAATAAAAAACGATGTTGTTTAGAGCCTGATAGAAAAACTAATTTGTGATACGACAGAAAAAGTGAAGGCTACTTTTAGTGTTAAGTTTAATTAATTGTACAATTAATTAGCCACACGCATTTGGATCGTTAATGGTCGACGGAAAATTATCTATTAAATTTTCAAGATAAATATTATTTTTTTTTACCGCTGGAACGCATCTATAAAACATTAGTAATTTGTTTTATTTTTCTCTTAAAGCGTGTGTGTTCATTAGTGTAAAACGTATGTGTTACCAACTCGTGACAATATACAAACTTATTTTTGTACGAATAAAATTATTTATGAAAGAAAACTTGCAACATATTGTGCACTTGAGTGGTAAAATTACAAAATAATTTGATATTAGTGCTGTGTAAATTCAATTTCTTGTAGAATCTAAGATGAAAATGATACGGGAACTTATAAAAATAGGTAATGATAATATATTATTTAAATACATTTCCAACCGAATGTCAGTAAATACCTTGTGAAGGCTTAGGATTGGTAACTAAAACAACAATTAGTGTTTTACATCGTTCATACGTTTTTGCCGTAACTGGATTTTATGAGGTCAGCTCCTTTTTCCGCCATCATTATAGTGACCGCGTTCGGGTTGTACGCCACCAAATGCGGTATGGCAGAACCGTCGATAACCCTCAGGCTTGTGACGTTTTTCACCCTCATTTGCGGGTCGACCACTGTTTTTGGGTCACCGACTGCGCCCATTTTGTTGGTGCCGGCCACGTGGTACAACGAAGTGGCCACTTGCTCGATGCTGCACAACCAGTAATCACGTGTGGCCCATTCGTAACCGTCGCAATTGGGAAACTTCAAGTGTTCCAACACCAAGCCGGCGTTCATCACGGCTTCGGTTTTCGACAGTTGCACTATGAAGTCTATGGCTCCCAACACTGTTTCCAGTTCTTCCTGGTGTTTCAAGAAGTTGGCCACGATTTTCGGATGCTCCAGCGGGTCGGCGCTTTTGAGCTGCACGTAACCGGTGCTGATTATGTTGGTGCACAGTGGCAGCATCATCAGCAAGTCGCTCTGCTTGTTCAAATCGTTGTACAGCGCGGCCACTTCATCGGTCAGCCCGAATATATTGGTCAGCATGTTCTTGCCGTTCCAGCTCTTGTCCAACATGTTGTACATCAACCGCATCTTCATTATTTCCACGTCGGGGTACGTTTGCTCCATTTTCGTGTTGATGAAAGTGATCAGTCCCGATAGCCCGAGGGTGCTTTTGCCTTGTGCGGTCAGTGCCACTTGTTCTGCGGAAAGCTTCGTGCTCTCGGCCTGTATCTCTTCTACGGACCGGTTCTTTCTGTCGGTGAATACCAGACCTAAGAACACGACGTGGTCGTGGAAGTTCGCCCCGACCTGCAGGTCGGCCACTAAACCGATGCCCATCTCTCGCAGATGCTCTGCGGGTCCCACTCCTGACAGCATCAACAATTGCGGGCTAGCTATCGCTCCGGCACTGACGATCACCTCCAGCTTGCAGCTGATCGCCATCTTGGTGCCGCCGGGCGTCAACACCTCCACGCCAGTGGCCTTGCGGTTTTCGTCGAACAATATCCTGGTGGCTCTCGTGTGTTTGGCCACGTACAAGTTTGGCCGCTCGCTGGCCGGCAACAGGAACGCCTTTAGCGTGCTGCACCGCAGACCGTCTCTGGTGGTGCTGTCGGCCATGCCGTACCCCAAAACCGGCTCTATCCGATTCAAGTCGGCCACGTAGTTCATGCCCAGCTCCTCCGCACCGGCCGAGAACACTCCGACGGCCGGGTCGCGAGACACGAACGGCGATACGGTCAGCGGACCGCCCCGGGAGTGAACGGTTCCGTTGAAACGCTTTTCGTCGACAAAGTCCTCGGATTTCTTGAAATACTTCATTGCCGTGTCGTAATCCCAGCCGTCGCAACCGGCTTGCACCCATCCTTCGAAATCACGCCTAGTGCCCCTCATGTATATCATGACGTTCATCGATGAACTACCGCCCAGCATGCGGGCCTTAGGCACATAAACGCGTCCGTCCTGCAAACCCTTGAACATAGTTTCGTCCGGTTCTGTCGAGTAGTTCCAGTCGACGTCGGATCGTAGAATCGTCTCCCACAAATTAGGCACCTCCTCCGTTTCCGGTGGATCGCCGCCCGCTTCCAAAAGCAACACGTTCCATTCGGCCACTTCGCTGAGTCTGGCGGCCAACGTAGCTCCGGCACTTCCCGCGCCCACCACGATGAAGTCGAATTGCACGTTGCTCTCGCCGTACTCCAACTCGGCAGCGTAGTCCGATGGGTACGCGATTGCCCGGGACATCGGCCAAGGTAACTGTAACAATTTCAACCGGTAAGTTAGGCTAGGTTCAACGTGGACACAGTGGCGCACCTAGATATTCTGGTGCCCTAGTGTACAACTAAATATCGGGTCAATCCGCGTGAAATCACCTAATGGGTGTGCGACTATAGTTCAAAAATGTTTGAAATTTTTATCATACATTCTTAATACATTCCTTAATGACAACAAAATTGAAGAAAAAATAATTTAAAACATAATTTGTTCGTATCAAATTAATAATTGTAAATTTCGAAAAGGGCCCATCTCGAGTTTTTATCAAAATTGATTTTTCCTCGTTTTTTCAAATTTACACATATAGACCGATATTTTACGAGCGAAAAGAGCACAAATATGTTTTTATTAAGATGAAAAAAACATCCTATTTTTTAGAAAAAATCATATTAAAAAGAAAATCAGATTTTTGAGTTTCCTGGAAAAATTTAATTTTTCGATATCAGCCCTTTTCGAAATTCCCAATTCAATTAAGGGGGCTCCATACAGACCATTTTTTCAGTAAAAACATATCATTTTCATTCCATCGCACAGGCCTTACCAGTAATCCGATAAGCAATCTAAAAACAGATTTGAATTTGTCATGAAGTTTACTTAGGATCGGTCGAGGTACTTTTTTCAATTTTTAATTTTAACCCTTTCTAAATTTTATTTTAAAATGTTCAAATTTTATAAAATGTCCAAACGTGTTTTATACATAGTAGGAATAAGATATCAAAAAAGTACGTCGACCGATCTCAAGTAAATTTTATGAAAAATTCAAATCGGTTTTCATATTACTTATCGGATTACTGGTTGAGCCTGTGCGATGGAACAAAAAATGTATGTTATATTGACTAAAATGGCTTTTACTCATACACAAAATGATTTAAATTAAAAATAATACCTTGAAGCTTATAAAAATTAACCGGTAAATTTATTGACATGGTCGAAATTTATTTAAACCAATTTTTTCTTAAATATTGCCTATACAAAACTCCTTAAAAATGGTCTGTATGGATCCCTCTTAAGCTATATGTTCTTATGGCCAATATCGTCTTTTAGCCAATTAAGTTTTTTTTCTATTATTTTACCGTTTCAAACATAAGTGTAAGTTAAGAACTGCCTAATTAATGACCCACAACACAAATGTGATTGAACCAAAATTGTCCAAATTCATGCAAAACTGACGTATAAGTGATTAGAAAATCTACTAAAAGTTTGGTGATTGAGTTAAAATTATTTTAACAACAGTAGTAAGGTTTAAAACTTTTTTGAATTTTTCAAAACTTTCTTTTGGGGTTAAAAAATTGCAATCGCCATTAGTAATAACTAATAAGAAATTATTACATTTTTCAGAATGTTTGATGAAGACCAGCAACTACTTCGTCGTATAACGAATCTGAATTGTTCTTTAAAAATTATGTGTGACCACCACAAAACAAAATATATCGATACATTTTTTTTGTATTTGGCAGACAATGTTTTGACCCATTTAAAAGACATAAAAAAATAGTTTTTAAGGGCCAAATTGAAAAGAGTGAGAAACAATGCTTAAAAATTTTAATTTAACATTAATAATGGAAAACCATTATGCAAAACGCGTGCACAGTTATTGAGTGATTCCGCTAATAGAATAATTAAAAGTGTTTAACATAATGATCCTACTTATGAGCCTATAGAAGATAGTTTAAAAGCATTGTTTCTCATTCTATTACAATTAGGCCCTTGTGAACTATTTTGTTATGTCATTTAAATGGGTCAGAACATTGTCTAACAAATACAATAAAAAAATGTATCTATATATTTTGTTTTGTGGTAGCCAAAAAGTTATTTTTTAAGAACAATTCAGATTCGTTATACGACAAAGTATTTGCTGGTCTTCATCAGACATGTCAAAAAATGTAATAATTTCTTACTAGTTATCACTAATGCCGATTGCAATTTTTTAACCCCAAAAAAAGGTTTTGAAAAATTCAAAAAAAAATTTAAACCTTACTACTGGTGTTAAAATAATTACTCCATCACCAAACTTCTAGTAGATTTTCTATTCACTTATATATAAGTATCGCATGAATTTGGAAAATTTTCGTTCAGCCTTATTTGTGTATAGCTTAAATTTGTATATAAATAAAACATTTTTTGAATTTTTTTATTTATTGACAACAACAAAAGTTGTTGAAAAGTTAAAAAAAAAAACAATTTCTCGGGGTTAAAAATATTTTTTTTTTTTTAAATATTGTTTAAGTACACTTAATTCGAATTTTAATTGTGCAGGTTTTATGTCTATACCGCTATCGGTGGTTAAATTAAGAGTCGGAAACATTAGGTGTTCTTGGATAATTTTTTTTTTTAAATCGAACTACATAGGTCCAAAAAAAAAACCAAAACGTATATTTTTTTCATTTTATTACCATTAAGGACCTATAAAGAATGTATGAAAAATTTTTTGAACCATAGTGGCACGCCTATTAGGTGATTTCACGTCGAATGCCCCTATTATGATGCCCTCAGTTTTTCCCCCTGGAGTTTATATCAAAGCTGAATTGCTTTTACATTACTTTTTCAAAAACATACTAGGTATATACATAAGTGATTGTGTTATATGATTTTTTTTTATCAGTACCATGAATACCTTTCTTAGATAGATTTATACTAGCAAAGAATAGTTTATAAAAAAATATTTGTGTAGGAGAAAAAATATTCAGGCGCAGACTGAGGCATGAATTTTTTATCAACTGTATCTTATTATTTATCAATTACATAGAAGCAGTTTTGGTGTTGAAAGGTCATGTTAAATAACCATAACAGCATAATAGTATATATTATTTAGAAGACAAATCATAAACTTTAACAAATAGTTTTAAATAATAAGTTACATTCGTGTTAGCTTTTTGCATTTTTTAAATAGCTGTTACACCTTAGTTTGATCATTTTTTAGAGAAAAAGTAATGTGATGACTTCGATAATGCTCTCCTCTTTAAATTTTGTGTTTTATACTTTCGACCTAAACGCCACAATTTAAATTCTAAATGATATAATTTAGCTACGTTGCCAGTTAGTAAGACTGGTATTTTCAATCATAATATTTTTTTAATAAAGACTACTAAAAAAATAAAAACATTAACATTACCTAATTATGTATTAATTATTGTTAATAATGTTAATTGCTGATAATATATACTAAACTATGGTTGAGTCGTATTATATTATTTCTGTATTAAATTGATCCTAATAAAAAAATTATAACTATGTAGGTACTTACATATTTTCGAAGTAGAGGCTCGCCTAAGTAAAAACCAAACACCTATAACAATAGAAATGTGTATTAGTTTTACACATAATGATTGAATAAACTGTTTTTTTTTTAATTAATTACATCCTGCTAGCTATATTGACCCGGCCATACTATTTTTAACAATTTGTTGTAAAATATAAATATTTTTTTTTGCTAACATAAAAAAGAACAAACACAACGTTGTAAAATACAGATTATCTTCTGAGCTTTGCATCGAAGCTTATGTGAAAAACTGATACTTAAAAAACTTATTTAAATATTGTAAGCCAATTGAAAAATTAAAAACGCTCGATTGTGAAATAATTAAATCGTACATTGACATTAGAATCTATGATCAATCTCATTTGCCAAACGTTTCTGATTGCATAACAAAGTTAAATTTCACATAGGTAATGTTTTTAATGTATTTATTAATTATATTTAATTGACAAATAATTATAATAATATTTATTGGAATAATATTGGAAAATGGAAAGTAGCTGAGATCTGGAAATCTCAAACAGGAGTATAAATTTGTAGTACAGTATTTTTTTATTTAAAAAGATTTTGTTTATTTACGGCAAGAACAAAGCGGGTTAGGTTAAAAAAAATCGACATCGGATTTTTTTTTATAGACCATTTATGACCATTTCATAAATCAGATTGGTACTTAAACCACTTCTATACATGACATACATTACTCACCAAGGCCAGGGTGACGGCAGGTATCCTGAACATGGTTCAGTCGGTATCTGTCCTTTTGTCGGGCTTAACAAAAGACACTTGTTGATTGGCAAAGGCGTTCGCACAACTTGCACGGCACTGATGTTTTCCAATGGCTTTTATATTTTTCGGCACAATCGTGCGGGTTATTATCGTCTTCAAATTAACACAAATTGGGACAAGCATGATCGATTATTCGAAATCTGCACGAATAACCTAAATATTTTTCTATAGATCTTTGATCTACATAATTTTTGAATCGCGGAGTGAGTAAGTAGCGTGAGCCGAAATTTGTTTTTTTAAATTTTTTTTTTTATTCACCGGCACGCTTTTGGTTTTTTTTTTCAAATACAAGTCAACCCGACACCTGTTCACGCATATATCGTCTGTACTTTGTGTATAAATAAGATTCAATGTCATCATTTTGCAAAAAAACCACCTAGATCGCCTTCATAGGTGTTACTCGAAACACCCTCTTTATTCAGTCAATAATGCTAATACTAGATTGAAATTAACCTTAATTTTGTTCATTAACTTCCATCTGGTGCAATCGATTTCCCATCTTTGTTAATGCTGCTCAACTTTAGAGTCCCGTTTCGTTCAACTCGATTTCATGCCCCTTTTTCATCCACTAATTATTCCTTTAACTCCCCCATCGTTTTCAATGTCTTGAATTGTATAGCTTTATTTTAGTACTACTTCTTTTTGTAAATAAATATAAATACAAAAATAACTGTAAATTTTGTTTTGGGCACTTGTGCCTGTTGAGTAAATAAATAAATTAACTAATGATGCCCTGATTTTGCCTCGTAGGGTAACGATGTTGAGACTCTTTAATTAACTTCTTGAAAAAACATATCATAAACCCTTTCTAATAGAAGGCAATTTTTTAGTACTGAAAATTAGACCTAAGGTAGATCTAGAATGGAAATATAACATAGACAACTTTATCAAAAATCTGTGGTCAAGCGTTTACTTTTAAGTGATTTTATCACTTTGGGTTATAAATTATAATATTTCTTCTAGACCTGTGACCTCCTGGTCCCCACTATGCCTCGACACCACAATACTGGCTTTCTTTAACACCTATTTTTGTCGTTATCATTCTATGTATTAAATATTAATTTTACAAGTGGGGGGGGGGCTAAGTATTCTATCACAATTAACCAAAGGTGTGCCCATAACGGATAAAGCCTTAGGTAAACGTATTAATACATATTATAGGATGTCGATGCAGGTGAGCTTACAACATCATTTATTATAAGTTTTTAGTAGTAGCCTTGGAACGCGGTTTTCTTTAAATGCACCACTACTAGGACGATGTTAAATGAGCCGACCTAGCTTTACTTACCCACCCCCATTAATTGATGTATATTTGCTACTATTATGTCATCTTCTATGTTATTCGTTTTTTTGTTCAAATTTAAAATTTCAAATTTTTGACCACCATTATTAAAAAATAATAATCTAACAGAATATCTCAAAAAAAAAAAGTGTGATCGTAGCGTAACTTGTCTGTTTTGCATTTTTTTTCATAAGGTACTGTTTTCAATATTTATCCATATTATTTATTATTTAATACAAGCTCGATATGAATACAATGTACAATGTATATAAAGCGTTTGTAACTTATTTCTTAATACGCTCATATATGCGTTGCCACAAATAGGTTTTCAGAAATCTAAACGTTTGTGGAGAGTGGTAATATAAGCCCATAACTAATGATTTCTGATCTTCGATGAAAGGTCAACACTGTTTTTTTATTATATTTTAAACTAATATGTATTGATAACAAAATGCAATTTACAATAATCTTATTTTATAATTTATAATTGTTTTGGACATTCACTTATTAATGATACAATTTTTAATTGATTAAATTACATTTTTAGATAAAAGTGAAATTCCAACCAGTCTACTTTCAAGAATTTTGTTTAGCAGTTATACTATATTAACTTGAAAGAATCAAACGGTTTTTCTACTATGTCTATGTGTTACAATGATAGTCCAAGCCACGTACGTTTAGCCGTTAGAACTCTGGCCGGCAGTCACTTTGTAGCTGTTTAATTGTGAGTACTTACCGAATAACATGATCGTTTATTTTCTTTTTCCTTATATACATAACCAAATCAAATTTTGATATGCAATTTATGTTGATTCTCCAAACAATTTAAATTTCTCTTAAACATATATGTATTTTTAACTTGTAGAAAAGGACAAACGCTACTCAAAACATATTTATCTTACGGCCCGGAACGGTTCTCAAAAGACCATGGACGGCATTACCCATAAGTAATGTGATTTAAAAAAAAAACGAAAAGTACATTTTTTTACTAATTAATAAAAAAAACAATGACAGAGGAGATGGCGATGGGGACGGGGGTGTTAAATTTGTTTGAATTATGTATAACTTGAATGAACGGTTAAATTGATTAGAAAAATAACTAACCAATTGCCAACAAGCCAATTATTAAAAAAAACAACTAAAAAACTTTTGGCCACAACATAAAATTAATCATCACCTACCATTCGACTACCGTTGTTACCATTGTTACAAACCAAGTGTTTATTTTGGGATAGCGACGAAAAATATTTCTAATGATATCAAGGCAGACAGTGCTCCACGGAGCGTAGGGGACGACGACATAAAAATGTATCCCGTGGTAGCGGACTTGCACGCAAGTTGTTAAAATATAATATGTAATACCTATGTGTTTAGTAATCAAATCAAATTTAATTATGTGTGTGTTAAGCTTTTCTGGTTCCAAATGCCTCATGGGTATTTTGTCCTATTGTTCAAAAAATAATTGAACCATCAAGCATTTGGGAAAAAAATAGATTATCTGTGAGTTCTACACTTGTATGTATAAATAGTTAACAAAAATTATGTTTAAGCTTATTTTTTGTCGAAAACCTGTTTAAAAAAAAATATTTCTGCCTTGATATTTTTAAATTACAAATGTATTAAATAATCATTATAAAAATTACAATTCTCGTGAAAATGATGCAAGTGTAGGCAAGGTTTATCTTCTGTCTATAAAAATGTATTGTCATAGTTACCCGTATACCCTAATTAACAATATAATGAAAATATTTCGCTTACACAAAGTAACTTAGACTACGAATTAAGTTTGACCACAGATTTTAGAAACTTGTATATGTTATAGCCCCATTCTAGATCTACCTTCGATCCAATTTTCAGACCTAAAACCCTAAAAATGAATTTAAATAAAATAAATAAATAAAAAGTTTCACGCCTTTTAGTGTAAATGGCGTATGATATATTTGTAATTGGCAATATTTATCGATAGTACTATGTCTTAAGAATATGCTATAAAAAATGTTGAACTAATTGAACTATTTTAAAAAGTAATGGAGCACCGTAGAAATTTAAAGTAAAAAAATAAGTAAATTGGTATTTTTCTCCATTTTAAAGGAGAAGGGATAAATTTTTATTATTTTTGGTCCATTAATAACACCTTCCATGATCTATAGTGTTACTACACGAAGAAATCGGTTCAGTCGCTTAGGAGATAACATTGGTACAGACCAAAAAAATTAAATAAAAGCACAGTGTTGTAAAAACAATACCCTCGGCTGCGCATCGAAGCTAAAACACTTACCGGCTGATCAAATAAACAAATCTCTTAAACAACATGTTTAGTCAATGATAACTTGTCTGCTACTGTGTTTTTCACAATACTGCTACAATTAGCAATTTCTATCGAACGTCGGACAATATTCTGTTGAGGAGCGACCCGTCGTCAAAGAGCAATCGATGGCAAACGAAGAACCAGAGAAAAAACTATTGAAAATCCCTACTATAATATATCAAATTCGAGCAAACCGCAAAAGTATGAAAAAGAATAGTGTAAAATAATATTTGCTGGGCCATAGTTTATCAAAAACAGCTGTGTATTGGTCGGTCGTACGTGTATGAATACAATTTTTTTTAAAAACAAAAAATAGTCTACATGAAAATATTACTGTTACTGCTGATATTTCGTACGAATCGATTCCATTCTATTGTAATAATTTTGTTCTAACCTATCGTAAATTTGCATCCAACTCGTGCAATTATGATTGTGCACGCAGTTTTCGCACCAAGTGTTGTCGCCACAATCGCAATTAGCGGGTTTCTCGGTGCCGTTGGGTTTTCTATCCGGTACGGTAATGTTACGGCTGTAATTGTACGTATGGTCTGCCGGTCTTCGAGCAGAGTCCGTGACATTTTTTCCTGTCTGAAATTTGGCTGCCTTGATGTTTTTCCATCGGTTCCTCATGTCTTCCACCGGGTCCGACCAATCGGCAACGTTACCACAGCGGCCGGCAAACCCTATGCACGTTTGCGATTTCATTTTGACACTGTGCCCGGAGAAATTTCTGCAAAAATTTCCACCGTACTTACCACCGTTGACGACGCTGCAGCGATTGACCACGGCCAAATCGTCGCCGTTGGCTGTCCGTGGTTGTTGGAATAATTCGTAGCGCATCTCCGGCGATTTTCTATTAGTTGCTGACGTATTCACATCGGACCGTCCGACATTACAACATGGCGGAAAGTCGGCCGTACACATTTTATCACTTGCCAGACAATCGCACGTGCTTGTGGCGTGTACGTCCGAATAATTCGCGTGGTCGTTACATTGCTTACACTCGTACAAAAACTTTTCGATATCGTCCAAGTACTTGACGATTTTCGTCAACCTCGATTGATTATCCGACGAACTCATCATCATAATATCCCACGGAGGTAAACAAATAAGGTGTTATTCAAATTAAAACACATGATGATAATTTAATTTTCGGGACAAAATTAAATTATTAGAATATTGTTATTGAAATAAACAACAACATTAGCGAGCCAGCACTAATTTTGCTACGTACCTAGACGTTTCACTTTTAAATTAACCTCATTATCTGCAACAATGCACTTGACCAATTTCTTCGAGTAGCGACTCTATAAATCACAAATTTTATCTAGTTGGTACTTTGGGGGAGGGGTAAAAGTCGAAAAGTTCACTTCTTCATAGTTATTATAATACAAGGCAATTATATTATATTAAAACGTTTTGCAAGTTTTTAAATATCTCTGAATAATAAAATTAATAATATAAAAAGTTTGAATTCTCATTGATTTTTACAGCTTACTGTCCGTCCTACCCGTCTTGAGTCTGCTTATAACTTG